AAAACCGGTTTGTAAGATTAAAAATTATTTATTTTTATATTTAAAGTTATTATATGATGGCGATTACTAATAAATGCTTATGGCTCTGATATTTTGTGTGTGAATCATTTTCAACATGATTACCACTTGTCTTACTATAAAGGAGAACATCGTAAGGAAACCTGTTTCTGGGGGAACCTAACTAGTTCGTAGTTTTCGAAGACATGTACAGTCCGCCAACCAGCACTTGGCCAGCGTGGTGTACTATGACCTGATATTGAAGGGAGGCCCGTGCCCAGCAGTGGGACGTTAAAAAGGGCTGAATAATCACAACGTTGGGTTATCCTGTAATATAAATATGCATAATTGTTATTAGTTTTTAATTAATTTCAATAATAGATACTCATTTAAAATTTATCATATTTTTACCAAAACAAGGTCCACTTTAAATGTATAAATTATAAAGTTCTGTGCAAATATAGATCTGGATAAAATTTATTTAAATACAAATGTTAATAGATGATTAACAACATTGTTTTATATTACAAAAATTAATTTTGTAAAATAACAAGCTGATTGTGTTTGTTTGAGAATTGCGGGCGGGAAGCTCCGTTTTGCACCCAAATTAACTACACTAAACAAAGGCTGTTACGTCTCTACAATTAACAATTATGACGGAAAATTACTTTATTTAGACGATTTTGCCTTTAGCTTATTTTGTATTAAAATACAAAGAGCAAATTGTTTCTAAATAGATTTCTAATCATATTGAAGAATTTTTTTTAACTTTGTATATGGAATTAGTTCAGCAGAAATCTGGATATTGTTTTATATTCAAAGTGTAAAAAATTGTATCACATAATATAATCATAAGTATTTTGCTCAAATATAATAGTCAGTGTTCATAACTTAAAGAACTTTTAATCTGGACTTTCCTGGAGACTTACTTGTACTAACCTGATTTATATTTCTACTCGCTGAAGCAAGACAAGATATTTCAGAAAGAACTGAAAATGGCTATTTCTTGGCAACTCTGGCAAGTTAATTTATTTGGCACCCGAGTTGATACTACACGTTTAAGTGAGAAAAAAAGCTAAAAGCTATTTTTACAGTAAAAATATCTACCTATACCTATAGTAGTTACAGAAAAAAGCTTACATTTAAAAAAAAACATGGTTGACATAACCACTTACTCATAAGAAATATAATTAATTTATATATAGCTCACCTTCGATCAACAATACTACAGTTGATCGAAGTAGCTCACGAATAAAATAGGCGCGTCAAAAATAGAGCCATTTAATATAAATTAAACAAATATAATTATTATAAATCACTACATAGTATAAAACAAAGTTGCTTCCCCCTATCTACCTACGCAACGGATTTTGATGCGGTTTTTTTAATAGATAGAGTGATTCAAGACGAAGATTTTAGTACATAATATGTTAAGTTTTTGTATACATTGGCTAAAATATAACGATATTTGTTGGAGGAGTCTGAAAAAAATGTCGTCTGGGAGCTTTCAACGAAAACGCTGCCTAAACCCTTTGAGATATATCAAAATACGAGTAATGTATGGAGGAATTATGTATCTTATGTAGGTGTACAGAAAAGTTCGCAATGGTATATGTCTATCTCTTAAGGATAACATACTATATCCATTTTTAACCGACTTCCAAAAAGGAGGAGGTTCTCAATTCGTCGGAATCTTTTTTTTATGTATGTTCACCGATTACTCGAAGACGCCTGAACCGATTTGGATTTTTTTTTATTTCAAAGAGTATACTTTCCAGGTAGTCCCATATAAATTTTATTCAAATCGGTCGAGCGGTTTTTAAAAAATCAACAATAAATATATATTTTTTAAATAAATTGTTTAATCGAATATGTTATAAAAAAACTTTCTTCTTACAAATTACCTGCTTATTACGTCTACACTAAAAATGCAAAAATAAAACTTTTTTTAAAAAAAATCGACTTCCATGCACTAAAATGTAAAAATAGATACTTAATCAGATATATTCGAAGTCGGTGCCAGCCGACAATATTATAAGATATGAATATCTAATAGGTAAATATGTATTTTGCGTATAAAAATATATTAGATTTCCTTTGCATTGTCTGGCACCGACTTCGAATATACGAGTATCTGATTAAGTATCTATTATAAATGAAAACCCCCGTTTAGTTATTTTTACATTTTAGTGCCTGGAAGTCGGGTTTTCTTAATTTAAAACGTACCTAGGGACGAACCTGAGCGAAGAGAGAGTTTCATTATAAACTTTTATCTGGTGGTTTAATAATCAGATTAGCCGCTATTAATTAAATAAACTGACACATGAAATAAAAATTAGCCATGCACCCACAAATTATACGAGTAAAACACATAGGGTAGATTATTATTGATTGTGTAATAATCCATCAAATCATTGAACTTATGGAATAAAAATTCAAAATTTGCTCAGTGATAAAACCATTTCGTGAAAGCCGCACATCGATGACTATAAGTTAAATATTTCTGTTATGTACATATATAGTCTGCTTACGACATGCGTGGGAGGAAAGCCGCTTACACGACTGTTATTTTATTACTTTACGTATGGGGAAAAGGAATTTCATTTTAGCAGAGAAAAAGGATGTTCTTAATAAATGGATGAGTTTTCGGGCGCCGACTCTAGGCAAAAAATCAATTCTCTGGCAACTAGCCATATGCAATGCGCTACCGCGCTAGTACTACTTAATTTTGTTCATCTAGACATTACGATTGTCACTATTTGTTCACTTTCACAATACAGCAGTTTAATAATTGATATATATTTTATGTCCCTTAATTAAAAAAATACTTTATGTATCTAAATATTAAAGTGATTTAGATTTTCATTTTCCCCCATGATTTCTTTTTTGTAGTTAATAAAAACGTTTTGATGGTTTCGCCATTGTTATGTCAAAATAAACTACTGTTACTGACAGTTAATCTTAATTTATTAACCTCACAGGCGAGAAACGTTCCAACACTCATATATTAACACAAAGCCAAAGAAATCGAAACCTTTGATCTAAGGTCTAATATTGAATTAAATGATTTCACTTTTCCCTAATAATTATTGAAAATGAATTTAAACACTTGCAATCAAATATTTTTTAAACACAAGATCCAGCACAAGAAGAATTTGAAATTATTTTTATATTTTCATGAATGAAATCACTACATTAGTTTAGAACATCATCATTGAAGACTGTATATTTAAAGTTTCATGATCTACCTACCCTTCTCATTCAAATGAACATAGGCGTAAAATACTCACTACGGTCTACGCTCCGTAATTCTGAAGTCAAATTATTTCGAATAGGTCCTTTAGAAACTCTTATAGCTATTGTTCGACTTAAATTTTACTTTAAAGTTTCATAAAAAAATACAATAACCATACCTAAATCTAATATTATTGCTATATAATATATATTTTTTTATTCAATTGCTTGCGCAAATGGAAAATAATTTAGGTAAATACTAAATTGTTAGTATAATTATACATATATTGGTGAAGTTTCTTTTTGAAAGTGTGTGGTTTCATAGAGTTATACTTCAATAGTAGAGATCAATCTTTTAAGAAAATAATTTCAATATGTATAGCATTGACCTACCAACAACAGTAGGTTAATGATTTATAGTTTGATTAAAATAATTTACTTATAAAGTTGTAGGTCTTAAAATAGGTATATTTCAGTATTTTATAAGTTGTGTTGATAAGGTAATAATCTTACTTTATATGTATAATAACTGCTCTTTCTAGTGAAGTCCATAATTCAAATCAGCATTGCACGAAGTTCGGTTTGGCCTTGACCGTTCCAATTTGTTGTTTTGTATTCGTGTAATTCTCCCTTTTTTTAATATCCAACTTATCCAGCCAAAAAATACTTTATATATTAATAGCAGAACCCACGGCTTCCCTCGCGCTAAAACTACAAAAAAACACTAAGAAGGTAGGTTTCATACAAACTTTTATCCTCTAATTTACCCCCTTATGGGATGAATTTCGAAAAATGCTAAAACACATATTTGTATTGATGTATTGAAGAGCATTAATACATACAAAGTTTCAAGTAATTCTGATCTTAGGATAATTTTTTGGGTTCTATTATATCGTTTTTTCCCGTGGAAATGAGATAATCTCCTGCAGTAAATAGTCACTCTCTAACCCTCTAACTATCTACACACAAAAAAATACGCCAATCCGTCACTCTGTTTCAACGTGAAAGAAGTATAACCAAACAAACACACATTTATATTTATAATATATTAGTACGGAAGTATGGATGTAATATTACCTTTTATACCTATTTATTACCTATTGATAGGTTTGAAGTCGGTGCCTTTAGTATAGATTCCTCAGATCGCGGCGAGTGTAGGTACCTACTATTACATTTGGCTTGACACCGACTTACTTTTACTCCTTTTGTTCATTTCCGGCTAGAAAATGAAAAAAAGGAGTATAAGTATGTACCTCATTTGCATTTTAAGATACCTATAACGTAAAACGTAACGTAAAAATTCTAGCTCAATAACGTTAGCCAGTTTTTAAATTCCTATAACGACATAGTTAAGACTTAAGAATTAAAAAGAAGCTTTAAAAAGAATAGCCGGACGAAGCCGGGACACGTATCGAAATAAAAAAAATATTCGTTCACAACAATCACCCCAAATGCAAGGGTTGTAAAAACCATTAATTTTCATGGTTTTAAAGTTAAAGCGCTATAGTTTTATCTCGTGGAAAGTTACAGTTATCAAGTAGTCATCATTAAAACCGTCCCCCGACTGTATTATTAAAGTGTGTATCGCGCGCCTCCCACGTTTGCCCCTGGCTAGACGCCTTCGTTAGAAGACTGTAGGGTTTAGTATTTAGTACAATGTGATGTCTTTCATATAATCTTTAGCAAAAATGATCTTTAGCAAAAAGTTACTTAGGAACGCAGTTATGGGGTGCAAAAAATATTTTACCATTGTGTTTTTTTGATTACAGGACACTATGAGGATACTCAATGCTACTGATAACGGCAATATTGCTGTGAATACAACAAACAGGTCTTCGTTTGATGATATAGATAACTACAGTTGGCAAGATTCTGATACTTCAGTTGTCAGGATAAACAGTGTTACAGAAGAAAACGTCCATTTTAGTAATCATAACAAATATCATAATAACATTATTGACAATAGATTTTCAAATACTTTAATAAAAAGAGAAACAAACACTGAAGATAAAGTATGTAATAAGCAATTTAGATTAGCTAGTAATAATATTGACATAAAATTGAATATTAACAGTAAAAACATAGATCTGGAAAATAAAAATCTGTTAGTTGGCACGGAATGGCATAAATGTTGTACAGGTAGATATCATATCAATTTCTGAATACATAATATTAGGATAAAATAATTTATTGATATAGTTGTTAATTTTGTTTTAGTTGATGCCAATGTATCAACAGATACAACTCCTGCTGATGACGAACGCGCGTTTGAGCAATCTGACTCAGATGAAATGTCTGAGAACAGTGTGCGTCCTGTGCCTCGAGGTATAGTAAACCCAAATTATCCTGGGTTTCAACACTTAGCGCATACTTTAGAGGTAAGCTTAGAAAAAAAATAATGTATGTTAAAAATTTAATTTATTTCACGTGAAATATTTTTTTTGTTACTTATTACAGGACTATTCTTCAAATATTGAACCGTTTTATCATTCAGAAAATGATATGACGGACGAAGATTTAGAGACAGATATCGCTGAGACAAACTGTAATAGTGAAGATAATCCTAAAATTAAAGCTTTCGAAACTATAAATAATAATAATAAAGAATTTGATCATGTACGAAAAGACAATTTATCCAAGGACTCGAAACAAACTTTGCCTCTTTTGGAATCAAAAAAATGTAGTCCTATATCAGAAAATGAAATACCAGATTTATTAAAAACTATTACTCACAATAATAATAATAATGTTGATTGTGCAAATTATGATTTTAACTGCTCAGCGACTGATATAGAGAATAATTTTCATGTAAAGGATATAATAGGTGATTTTAATAAAGAAGTTGAAGACGAAATAAGACATTTATATAATTATAATTTAAATATTGAAAGTGACCTAGAAGAACTCCGAAAGGATATAAAAGATACATTAGTAAAACCAATCGAAAACACTATAAATAATATAAGCGATGTGGTGAATCACGTCATAAAGAAATTAGTAGAAAATGAAGGCTATGAAAAGAATGATGCACTGTCACCTGATATAGTAAATGATCACGAAATGGAAGACATTACTAATATCAACAAAGATAATGAAACTAATACAAGAACAGAAATTAATATAAGTAGACCTACATTTTTGTATATAGATAATAACGTTGATAGTAAAATAACTGATGCTATTTTATCAGATGGGAAGGATGAAATTAATATTTATGAAGATGATTACGATACAGATCAGCTAAGTCAAAACGTAGAAAACACAATAAAACAATTAAGTACGGAATTAAGGAAAATTATACCAAAATTAAATGAAATGCGTGAACGTGATAAAATATGGAACGAAAACAAACAAGAAACAGCTATGGTAATTGATGGAAATTCCAATAACATTGTATCGACATCAAACGCTCGGACTCATGAATCTAGGATTCGGTCGCAACTCTACGATGATAAAACTAAAAGGAACCCAAAACATAAACAAAGTTCTACTGCTAAACCTCATTCGATTAAGGCTTTAGTGTAAGTTATTATTAATTTATATAACCATAAAAAGGTTCAACACCATCATAATATAATAGATAAATAATTAGAAAAAATATACGAGTAAATGTATGAAATTAAGGAAGAGTCACTTTTTATTCCGACCTAAATTTTTGTTATTAAAACATACCATATTTATTTATGTTAAGAAATGTCAGGAAGTAATTAAATAAACCTATTATTCTTTGTCATTAATTATATTGTAGATATTGTTAAGTTTACGTAGATTTAAAGTTAAAATAACCGGTATGTAATATACTAGCGAAGACTCACCCTCGCTTCGCTCGGGTTCGTCCCTTGGTTGCTTCCACAGACAAACTTTCATCCCCATTTTCACCCTCTTGAGAGATGATTTCCGGGATAAAAACTATCTTATGTCCTTCTCACGGTCTCAAACTATCTTCTTACAAAATTTCATCTAAATCGGTTCAGTAGTTTCAGAGCTTAGTCGGTACAAACAAACAAGCAAAAAAATCGTTCCCTTTTTTTATAATATTAGTATAGATTGTGTACTATAATTCAAATTGTCGAAATAGTTAGAACTTTCAAATCTTATATTATTTAAAAAAATATATGTAATGAACTTCTAAGAAGAAATGCAATTTGTTTCTGAAATTAGATTCAAAAGTACCTATATGATTTTCTGAGACAGTCACCAACCACATTATAAAAAAACAAAAAATTGACTAATTAAATTGGTTACCAAATCTTACTAAAAAAATAAAATCCATTAAAGTAATTCTGTTCAATTAACTATTGATATAAACAAGCATGTTGCTGCTCATACATTAAAGTTTTAAATAGACTTGACGCGGTCAGTGTAATTCGGATAAATTAGGTAGTGAGTATTTACAAAGAGTTGTCTCAATGTGGTGTGTCAGTTTAAAGTGTTCAGGTATAAAACTGTTTAACGATTCGAGTGACATGCAAATGAGGTGTGGCATTTTTTATTTTAATATAGTAAGCCATACAATATTATTAATTGTTATTTAACTTTCAGTGAATCAAAAGTTCGGCAAAATTCTATCAAAACTCCAAAAGCTCATAATGCGTCCGTCCGTAAAAATGATAATTATAATGAAACTGATTTTGGTGAGTATTTATTTACTTGATTGCTAAAGACTAAATCTAAGTTTTATCTGCATTAGGTAGCTTTTATTAGGGTTTATTCTAGAACTAATTCATCTATTTTATTTGTCATCCATGGTTTATTCCCAGATTAAAAAATCATATAGACGAAGTCCGCTAAATTAAATGCCTAACTCAAAAATAGTAACGTGATTTGCTTTCTATACTACTCTTCACAATTTTGCCGTACATGATCTGCGTTTACTTTCTTTAAAAAATAAGGAAAATTTTATACATCTAGTTAGTATATAGTTAAATTAATATACATTTTTTCAGAATAAAATATAAATAATAAAAATAATACTATATAGCGAATTCACATTCCCTCGCTGGAAAAGATGGTTTTAAAAGAATTATCAGTAGGTTTTTAATATAATTAATTATCTTTGTTGCATTTGATCTACTATTTTGTTTTAATTATAAATTCTTTATAATTTAATATATTTAATATTTAATATAAATTTACTACAATCTTGTAAAGATAAAATTATGTTATTCCAGAAAGCTTCGATGTATATAATATAGAAACAGCATTACCAAAATTAGACCTGGATACAATTGAAAATCATATAAGAGCAGCTAAAGAAGCCGAAAGACGTGTAAGTATTGTTACCTAGTATTACATAAACATAAATAATATAGTTCAGTGAACTTTAATATTAAAAATGTAAAACGTATTGGAAAATAAACATACCTACTTAAAAATAAGACATATAATCAATAAATGTTAATAATTAAGTAATTCCATAAACTTGTTTGAAATATTACTTAATATTTCAAAAGTTGGCGCTCAGTAGGGTAACGGTAAATGCATACATTCACATTTGATCCACGTCTCCCTCGTCCATGCATTAACAGTTAAAATTACCAATACAATTGGTACCTACTCCGTTCAGCTTTCTACGGTGATTCAACGGCGTAGGCAGACTGCCATTCTTTTCATAACGTTATAAACCTCGATAGTTGATCAGACAGCTTGACGCGTGTTGTTGTTTCTATTGAAGTTAAGTTTTATTAAATTTAAAATAAGTGTGATGGCGTCGATGCCATATTTTAATTCTGAACAAAGACATTACAAAAAGGATACAAGATTTCTTTTAGACTTATATACAATAACATACGATAATCATGAATCTGTAGATAACATTTGCTGCCTTGTAAGTACATTTTTTTTTGTTAGAGCGAATATCGATATTATGACAAATGTGCCCCATAAACCATAAAGAATAAAGAGAGATTAGAAATGGAACACGTATTTGTCCTTGCCCTAAATGTCAATAAATGACAGAAATGACAGGATGGCTTTAATTTTTTGTTTACCCATGTTATTTATTTCATAAAGCAACAGTTGTGCCATTTTTTGCCAAAAAAAAAAGACTGACTAGTTTTAAGATGTTTGAAAGTATAATTACTAATATAAAAAGAAAATTTAGCAAAAAATCTGATGATATAACTAACAACGTAGATAAAGATACATCTGGAGTTAAACGAAGTCTGATAAATCTAAAATCAAAGGTGTTGAAGCCAAATAATACTGAAGATTTATCAGTACATAATTATTATAATGATACGGCTTTAAGTCCTCGTGCTATAGGAGCAGGACAATCTGCACAAACAGAAATAGAATGGCCCATACTCTCAGACAAAAATCCAAATATCTTAGACAGGTTTACCAGAATCGTTACGATTACAAATTATGTTCCTTACGATAAAAAAGTATTAAATATTTCTAACCATTTTATTAATCTGCGGTATTGGAAAAGTTTGGCAATTATTCTATGAAATTATATTTTGTTTTCAGAAACGCAATGATAGAGAAGAAATCAGAAAAAGACTAGCAATGGGAGTTGATAGTGAAGAATACTATAGTTTAGGTCACATAGACCGTCCAGGGAAGAAACCAAGTCTGCATTCAAGGCTTCAAAATGGTAAGAAATAATTTATTTTATTAAAACAGTAACAGTAAGTATAGTGTAGTTTTATGTATGTGAATATTTGTTATTTCATATTCTTTGAATTTATAAAGCTATTAACTTCTTTTTATAAATGTAATTACAAAATGTTAACATCTTTCTAATTTTATATTATATTGTAATTTATATAAGTAATATTGAAATTTTGCAAATCCAGTTTTTACTTTAACAATTTAAGATTTACAAAGTTAGAGATAGGTTTGTATATGTTGGGATTATGGGTTAATTTGATCATAACATTTGTGTGTTTAATGCTTATCAGAGTGTGCTAAAATTTATTGAATGTGTGGTGGTGCAGGGAAAAATCTACAAATATGTTTTATGAATGAAACAGCATCAGACAATGAATCTCAAACTTCTGATATAGAGAAAAATTTCAACTGTAATAGTAATAGTTCATCACAATCAAGTCTCTTTATCAAGAACAATTTTAACCATCCATACCAAACAAGACCACTTTCAGTTAATATTACAAAACATGAGAAAAATACCAATACACAAAGTGGTAAGTTTATTGCAACTGTATAGCATGTCTAGTTCTTGATGTAACTATTGTGAGGAGTGTTCCCACAGTTATTAGACAATTCATTTCTATTGTTACATATTAATATATTATACACTCAATGCAACTTTGTAATGTAATAAATATTTTAATAAAAAAATCATATATATCAGTTTTTAGAGTACTTTGAGTTCATTCTTATTTGCTTTTATTTTTGAGAAGTGGTGGTTTATTTTCTTTATCCTCTTAGATAAGAGATATTGCCTGTTTACAGACTTTGTTGCTGTTATACATTGTTATATTATGTGCTCTCATTATTTAAAACTGTGCTTTTTGCTATATAATTGCTTTTTATATACATTGTATTATATGAATTTTTAATACAATTATTTTTTTGTTTTTGTTCTTAATTAATACTTTTGAAAATTTAAATATATAAAATTATTTAATTAAATGCAGCTTAAATTTATTTATGAATATTACAGGTCCAAAATTACGTCCCACATCTTTAATGCTCAAATCTTCAAAGTCTCGGTCAACAAAATCATTAGGGCATATTGAGTTCAGGGAGTCAGATTTCTTTGCGTTACAATCAACTCTTCAAACCGAGGCCAGGATAGCTTTAGCTCAAGCAAAGGAAATGGCTCGTATACAAATGGAGGTAAATATCCTGAACCTTTTCTATTTTCTTAATTAGTTTAAAACAAAAATTACTAATTATAAATAAAAGATTGAATCCAAGGACTTTTGTGCCCTGTGTTGTTGCCAAACTTTTTGTTCTTTTGAAGTAAGAATAATGTTGTTATCTGTATCTGTAGTCTTAATATTTATAAATTAGTATTAGTTTGTATTTTTAAGAGAGAATGATATTGACATTATGAAGCCTCTTTTTATTATTTTGTATGTCTGTTTGTCCAAAAAAATTTTAGGGAATAATTTTTACAAGAAGAGATTTTATAAAATAATACTAGCGACTTACCCTCGCTTCGCTCGTGTGCGTCCTTGATTTTGTTCACAAATTTTTTGGGGTTTATTTTTTTTGCGCGGAACCCTAATTCTTTTTGTAAATTAAAAGTAGTCTAAGTTACCCTTTCTAAAATCAGCTCTACCAGTGTAAATCCCGTCAAAATAGGTCTAGCCGTTTCGGAGATTAGCCGGAACGTTTGTTTCATAATTTTTTGTCTGTTTAGACATACAAAAAATTATGTGTTAACACACATTAAAGATTATGTGTTTTTTTATATACTTTCATAGGCATTTAGTAAAAAGCTGATATGGTTAATATTATAATAATTACATATAATGATTAAACATTCCAGACAAAAAAATCCATCCACGCTATAAAGCATATTTTGACATGACAAACAAACACTTCAATTTTATTTATCAGTGTATTTATAGTTATAAAAGACGCAGTTTTGTTGGATGTAGCATTTATTATAAAAATATATATTTATTTCATTTAAAATGTCGTAATATAATTGTTTATAACCTTGTAACTTACTATTATAGTATGATGTTAAGTGAATGTAACACTATTTTGTCGTGTTTTATATGAATAGTTTATTTTAAAATATTAAAAGCGAGTTGTGTCAATAGAATAAGTTTATCTCAAAGGAGCACAAAGGAGTGTTATTAAACAGGTTTAACTTATTTACAATCCATAATTATAACTATAATCCATTTATTAAAATGACCTAATAAAAAGCCCGATGAAATGTTTATTCAGTGTGGTTATCTTAAATTATTAGTTAATTATATCTTTATTCTTAAATGTAAGCTTATTATCTCTCTAAGAGAGATTGGCCTCTATGGCCGAAATCGGTCTGAAGGACAATTTCTGTGAGGTAAGCAAACTGAGTAGAAGATATATTGTACAAGTTCGCAGACGCAAGTCTATTCCTTTTTCTCACATTCGGGTGGGATATTTTAAAATATAAGTGTTTGAAAGTAGAACTGTTGACTTTATTGCCAGCTCTTCTCAGAACTTCTTTTTGAGCCAGTGGTTAGCTACCTTACGAACTGACTTTTTAAATTGAATTGACGATTCAAAAGTGCCTGTATAAGTCTACTTGAATAAAGTCAATTATCATTTCATATGCTATAACATGGCTACGCAGTGGTAGCCCAGTGGTAACGCGCTCGCTTGGGAAACCAAGTGATGCGTTTCCAAATCCCGGATCTCGCAGCCCTGTTATTTTCATGTGCGAATCATTTCTAATATGATTACCACTTGTCTTACGGTGAAGGAAAACATCGTGAGGAAACCTGCATGTCTGAGAGAACCTAGTAAGTTTTCGAAAGACATGTGAAGTCCGCCAACCCGCACTTGGCCAGCGTAGTGGACTATGGCCTGATCCCCCTCGTATTCAAGGAAGGCCCGTGCCCAGCAGTGGGACGTTAAAAAGGACTGAATACAAGCTATAACGTGATGTCACTTCCAGCGCGAGCGTCGCGGGCGCGCCGTGTCGCCGGTGACGGAGATGCTGCGGCGCAGCATGGAGAAGGCGCGCGCGCCGCTGGCGCCCGACCGCCGCCGCGTGTCGCGACATCTCCTCACCGACATGAACATTGCGCAGCTACAGGTGACCACATACACTAATGATAGCTTACGATATTTATTATTTACATAAAAAATGACAAACTTATAATATGTATTAAATGAGCAATTCTTGTATATTTAGTATATAAATTTATTTGGTGTATCTCGGAAAGAACTTTGGATCAAATTCTGTTTAAATAGGGTATTTCTTTTTAAGTTAATATAGGTGTCTATCTAGGTGTTTTCTGAAAAAAAACGCAGATTTTAATAGAAAAACATCGTTTTTAATTTTTTTTTTGCTTTCATGCTGATAATGTCATATTGCTAGAAGCTCGATCACTGAGATAGTTCTACTTAAAAACTTATATTTTTTGATTTACACTTGTGGTATGAGTACAAATAACTAAGTATCTAAAACCAATGTCTACTAACTCCTACAGTCGTCTAACAAAGGCATCTAGGCAGGCTAAATTTTGATACGTTCTTTTATATGACAGTCTGGAAACGACTTCACGATTGACGGGTCTAACTGTAACTTAACGATATAGCACACCATCTCATCTCCGCAAAAATTGGCAATAAAAATTGCTATTCTTTACAACCCTTGTATTTCCGTTAAAATGCAAAGTTTAGTAAGTTTATTTCAAATATTATTTACAACTATGCAGTTAGGATCTGAGCAAAGCGAGTGCGAGTCGCTAGTTAAAACAACAAACTTATGATTAGAATAATTAAAACAATTGGATTTGAGTCTAAATTTATTTGCTATCTTTTATATATTGCTACCTCTAGTAAACCTACTCAGATGTGTTCACTTAAAGTTAGAATTCCTGTTTAATTTAATTGTAGCTTTAGATTAGATCTTGAAAAACGTTAATGTGTTATGAACATAATTAGCATTTTTTATGTTCAAGTTTTTATATCTCAAAGATACTCATATAAGCATATGTATCACATCCGCGATATAAACTGCGCAAAATTAAAATTTCAATTTTCTTGTCTTCTACGCCACTTTATGAGCCAATTTAAGATGACGATAATTATCTTAAATTATAAGAAGCATAACCTTGTATATTATTGACTGAAAAAGGTTTTACTGAACATTAATATACTTGGCAACTTTTAATTATAACAGGGTAGTATTGCTAACTAATGTGTTTTTTTCATGAAAGTCTCCCCAATATTATGTCATCCATTAGTATTAAACCACAGACTATCGTATATATTTTATTCTTATAAAGGGGCAAGGCAGCATGAGCTAAGCACAATATATTTAATTTAAAATAAATCATGAAATTATCCCTGGATTTTTTTGTGTACAATCTATACTTTAATAAAATTCTAACCAGTCGAATCTGTACATTAAATATTTTTTGGAAAATCTTACTGAAATAGTCGTTATTATTGATACAGAGGCCGAATCTATAGTTTTTAGAATTTTTGTCTGTCTATCTGGAACCGCATCACGAGAATACAACTGGACAGATTTTGATGAAATTTGGTATGACGATAGCTGGCTATCCGGATAAACATATAGGATACTTTTTAATGCGGGAAAATAACACATCTCTGAGAAATCTATATTAAACTTTAAAACGTAACCAGGGACGAATCCGAGCGGATCGAGGGCGAGTCGCTAATGAATACATAAAAAACAAATTGATATAAAATGCTAATTTTATACGTAGCATTAAAATGAGAAACTTATACAAAAAGCAAAGTGTATGTAAAAAATGAACAAATAATAATATTACTTAGACTCTACTGAGATTTACTTAATCGACGTCGTAGTGCTCAGAGGTTTCTGCGTGACCTTGCGGCCGCCTCCGCCGCTGAGTCATGCGATCCGATAACAATGACCATTGTGCAATTTGCATCGTTTCGTCGTTTTTACGTCATTTAATCGTAAAAAAATAATAAACTTACATCATGAAAATGTGCTAGATATTCTTTCTATTCACTTTTAAGTTTAGTTTTTTCTTCTTCTACTTTAGTTTCAAGTTAAATGCTCTAATAAAAATTTTTTACCAAAAAAATAAAAACCGACTTCAAACAAAAGCACTAAAAAGTAAAAAATAACTGATTGGTAGTTTTCATTTACTATACATACCTAATCAAATATTTTCGAAGTCGGTGTGCTTTGGACAAGTAATTAAAGCCTACCTATTAAATACATACCTAATCAACTATTTTCGAAATCGGTGCTAGCCCATACAAAGCAAAGCACACCGACTTCGCAAATATTTGATTAGGTATGTATAGTAAATGAAAACTACCAATCAGTTATTTTTTACTTTTTAGTGCTTTTGTTTGAAGTCGGTTTTTATTTTTTTGTTAAAAAGTTTTTATTTTTCCCTTTTTAGTGTAGACAGTAGTAGCAAAGTAAGAATTCTAACGTGTTAGGCTTGTCAAATCAAACAAAATAAGCCCAAACTCAATGTATCTACTATTAGCCGTTGAAGAGTTCCACCTACCCACCTTCTGGCCTTACCATCAGATCAGATCAACAATACCGAACCACTGTACTATCAACGGAAATGGAAACACTTGCAAAGTTTCAAGTCAATATGACAAATAGAAGTAGGTTAAATTCATCATTAGCTATTTTTCCACCCTTAGGAGTGGTATTTTTTATTGAAATTTAAATGGGACCAATCTGGAAGTATACACTTTCAAACAAAACAAAAATTGTCAAAATCGGTTAATAAATGACGAAGTTCTGAGGTAACAAACATAAAAAAAAAAAAACAAAAAAAAGAACCTCCTCCTTTTGAAGTCGGTTGAAAAGAAGAAAATAAACTTTAAATTAAATCAAACCCATCAATTTATTACATTACACAATTTATATAATACAAAAGCTTGTCGTTAGACTTACTTATTTTATAAAAGAAACATATAGGCATGTAATTTTTTTCTTAGAATTACTTATGTCAAGATCAAATTACATATTCTATTATTGTTTATTTACATAGGTACATCCAAACTAAGCGTGTGTGCCAAATTTCAGCTCATCGGTTCAGGATAACTGGTCTAAAATTCAGTTGCAAGATGTGTCCTACACAAACACACATACTAACACGGCGAGTTAAATAAAAGCTTGTAAAAAGGTGACAGGTTGTTGTGGAAAGAAAATGTATTGATTGTATTGAGTGCCAACTTTCGACATCTTTATGACATACTAGCATTGCCCACGGCTTCGCCCGCGTTCAGATGACCAAAAACCAAGTTCTTAGGTTTTACATATTAGTTTACTCTTACATTGCAGTTTTTGTATTTTTTCTCAGAAATGAGATATTTCAGTTTTTGTATTTTTCTCAGAAATGAGATATTTTCCCACGGTATAAATTATCCTATATGTTGACCCGGATAACCAGCTATCACCATACCAAATTTCATCAAAATCCCTCCAGTGGTTTTTCTGTGATGCGGTAACAGACAGACAGACAAAAATTCTAAAAACTATGGATTCGGCTTCGTTTCCAAAAAATATTTAATGTACAGATTCGGCTTAGTTACAATTTTATTATATGTATAGATTTGTACTTACTAAATAGGATAATATGGCTTCTTTATTCTCTGTCGAATAGGCGGAAGAACGTAATGAAACCTTATTTGATTTTTCTAGGCGCACTAATGTCGTATTAGCAATGTACATACATACATTAGGCTGAGACCCGAGAGCACGAGTTCTATAAATACAAACAATATTCAAAAATCGAACCGGCTGTCTTCTTGAAATTACTATGGTAGTTCAGATTTTATATAACTCTTTATTGTTATACTAGCGACCTACACACGCTTAGCTCGGGTACGTTCCATAGGTACATTTTAAATAAATATGAATTTAAATATATAATAATGGTTATTTCGAGTGTACCTTAAGAGAAAGATTTATGCTATTGTAGATTTTTCTATAGGCCTTATTAAGACCTATAATTTTCTAGCACATTGTTTTGATGTATTTGTTAAGGTTTAGCCAGCGTTAGACATGTAAACTTATAAGGACGACTCGATAAAACCAGTTATTCTGTTTTGTAGTGGGAATGAAAGATTTTCTTGTTGTTAAAGGTATCCTAAATATAAACCCGAGTAATAAGTTACCACTACACAAAATTTAGTTAAAATTGGTTTAGTAATTTTGGCGTGAATCGATTTCGATAAGTTATTGTTTTATTATATGTATGTATATTATGGCTTCGTTGATCTCTTTCTTATTCGACACTATCGAAAAATACTTTATCCGTATATGCTCTGTTATAAGATTGTGTCGAAAAGCATTTATAAACCAAACGTATTGTTAAACTTCTGAGAACCACTTACTAAATTACAAATAATCCTTTTAGTGGGTAATGGTTATACGTGTCGATAAGTCCATTAACTGTTAGCCCAATCATTTGATTTGATTTGAACTCGCTTCTAAGCTACAATAATACTTTCTAAGTATATATATTAAAATAATATAATAATTATGCTGTACAGTCTTAAAATTAACTTGTAACTTTTACTTTTATATCAGAGAAAGCGCAGGTGAAAAACCAGTTTGCATATTATGCATATCGTCATATTTTTACATAAAAAAACATTAAAATATAATCTTGTCGTGACCCAATTTTTTTTTTCAAGCAGTCTATTAAGTGCTTATTGGAGTGTAGGTATATTTTAAATACACCACTTCATCATTTGTGGGTACTCGACTGTATTACTTCTTATTTATAAATGTTCTAATTTATTTTTATAAAATTATTTTTATAGAAAATGTTAAAAAAAAAATTTATCTTAAGAATATTCTAGATTGCCTTAATATTTTTAATCTGTTATATAGAATAAAACTTTCCCAGTAACCTATAATCATTTTCAGTACAAATAACGTTTTAATATTTCCACAAAAGCAATAAGATTTTCGTGTAATTACATGCGACATGACAGCAAAAAGTTACAAGTAAAAGTTTAAGGACATGTGACATGACCTCATTTGATCACAAACAAGTCTTAATTAAATAGCTGTCTGAATCACGAAATCTAAGTTAAGTCATAAATTGGTTACCCATCCACATGTATGATCTAATACGATGATTAATCTTGAGATCATTTAAATAAAAGTTATGATATTTTAATTTGTAAATACTTTATTTTATATAAAATAGTAACAAATTAACAGTTTTTCGACGAAGTTTTCAGCATTATTTATCAAAATTCCAAAAAATTTTTTAATAATAAACAGTCATGAGGACTGCCGACAGAAGTGAAAACTTAAAACTATAAACAAACAATTGTTATTTTTGGATATTCAAATTAACTTCAAAACAAAATCAAATAGCCTCAACGGGAATTACTACTAGTAGACATTGAAAAGTTTTACTAACAACACTCCGAATGTTGTACATTTGCATTTTATTTATATGACGTTAGCGTAACATACATATATGGGTCAAAATCGACTTCCTAGCGTTATTTCCATATCCATACTAATTCTATAAATGCGAAAATAACTCTGTCTGTTTGTCTATATGTCTGTTTGACTGTCTTTTACCTTTTCACGCTTAATCCGCGAAACTGATTTAGATGAAATTTTGTATAGACATAGTTTGAAATCCTGGAAAGATCCAGGGATGGATTTTTATCCTGGAAATTATCACTCAAGCGGGTGAAAAGGGGAGTGGAAGTTTGTATGGATCAATCAATCATTTTCTTATGGACAAAAATCATTATATCCCATTATTTTGGTACGAAATAAAGAATATTTCGGCATTTAAGATCAATGAAGGTGAATTAGGGGGTGATTTCAAGCTTTTTAAAATTATTCACCTACTTTTCTATACATACATATGTATATAAAGTCTATCTATTCCATACTAACCGTACCGAAGGACGAACCCGAGCGAAGTGAGGGTGAGTCGCTAGTTAAGTTCATGAAAAATGATAATAGCATATTAAACATCGATTCTTTTTACCAGGTGATAGTCAACGAATTGCATTCGCAAATAGAGGCACTGAACGACTCATTGGTGAAACTATTGATGGCTCGTGACGAGCTGCACATGGGACAGGACTCCATGCTCGTGGACATCGAGGACTTAACCAGATACCTGTAAGTATATTACTTTATTCTTTAGTAAAGTTTTTTTTTAGGTTCTTTGTAAGTAAATAGTGAATCGTAGGATTAATTTGTATATCTGGATTAAAAGTGCTGCATTTATTAAAATGTACACTTTAGTTAAATATTATTTGAGTATGTATGATATCTTCTCCACTAAAGAACTTTTTTCTTTTTTTTATAGAATTTTGTTTTTTTTAATAAATACATACAGTATACACATTACACATCTCGATAAAGTGACCCCATGAAAAATTTCGAATAATAATTTCACTCTGGAGTATGGTAACATACGAATTTAATACTACCTTTTAATTTATAAATTTAAAAGGTAGATAATTATTTGCGCTTCTAAATAAAGTTCCATTTTTTTACAAAAAAACGCGCGTGTGTGTGTACTTATGTACGCACGTAAGAAGTTATACTTCTTTGGCGTAATAGAACAAAAATAGCTAAAGATTGCATCCCGACGTCACAACTCGCTGTTTGTAAAAGGAATACAGCTAACTTCATCATGTCGCTTTCAGTTAACTTCATCATGTCGCTTTTCGGCTGTCGTATCGTAAAAATTTTACTTTCATATTTTTTTCCAAGCGTGCCAAAAGAAGTATAACTTCAAAAAGACGCGACGCCTAAACCAACGCGAATGCTTAAAAATGACATCGGATAGGTCATTTGTGTCACTCAATTAGTTGTCAGTATGAGAAATTTTTATAATGAACATTTCGTTTTCTTTACGGCGTTTGTAATAAACTACGATAAAAAAAATAAGTTAAAGTTGAGTAAAAATGTTTTATTTAAATTCAATAATAATGTTTAACTAATATACCTACATACAAAAAATGCATAATGCTATTTTTACTTACTTGAAAATATTTGGAAAATAATAAAAATTCATTCAATTTGTTTACAGAGGTGTTAAGGAGCAAACAAAGAAAACCAAAGGCACTACTAAGTCAGGCGTAAGGAGGCTAACATCTTTAGTGCACAAATAACTACACATACTTCATATTGATTCTCTGTTAGGATATTGTTAAAATCTCTTATTATAACATGTTTACTCCTTTATTATGGTTACTATCTACTCTATAACTTTATGACACCAATTGTAACTTATATCGCAATGTATTCCACCTCCGTAGAACAAAGACGCATCTTATATATTTAAATTATAGACAAATTAGTGTTCCACACATTTTATTATAGAAACTGTCTTATATTACGGCCTTGTTCAGTGACCATATAAAGGCAAAAAACAGGGAATGTCCTACTGAATAAAGTATGAGAAAAATTTACAGTTTAGAAATATAATATTTTCATTGAGATCAAAATATGCAGCAACCTTTTACTATGTAGATTTTTTGACAATCCGCCTTCTTTACCGGTATGTCATGGATACTCCCAGTTTTTTTCGCTTTGGGCATAGAGAAAAACGTATTTCTAGCGATATATGTTGATTATTTGTAAAAACCGGTGGTTGGGAATGGAAGTATGATAGACATAGATTCGTTCGTACATAACAAAATGTGTGACATACCCTGTTCTTTGCCTGTATCCTTCATATATTTCTGAGCAAGAAAGATATTGTCTCGCTATTTCAATTTAAAACTATTGAATGTATAGTTTATTTATTTAACTTTCTCATATACATTCGTGTTTTTCACATACGTCTTTGTTTTGGGATGTGTCGAGATATTTAAAAATTAGTGTGGTTTCTTAGAGGGCATAAGGATGATCTCTTTATTGACTAACACAAAATAAACTCCAGTCATAGTACCAATATCTCTATATCATGTAATCACTGTAATATTAATTATATTTAGCAAAATTTACTACACTTGTTGAAATGTGCGTCTCACTTTATGTCACGTTTTGTATTGAGTTATGTTATTACATTTATAATATTATTGGTATACGCCAAGCGAATTGCCTTTTTTAAGACATTTTCTGTTATAGTTCTCACTGAAACCAAAGTAGATATAAGAAAAATATTCCAATACTATAATGCTTTCTTAGATTTACGCGAATATTTGACATTTTAAATAAGATTATGTTTTGGGACTTTTTCGCGAATTTATTTCGATTTTTTGGGTTTCGAGTATTGAATTTTTTAAAGCAATCATGGTCACGGGAGAAACTTAAGGTTTTAGACGTTTTAAAGGCATTATATAGTTGTTACAGTATAAACATTCAAAACATCGCAAACGTCGAAGCATTCGAAACGTCGGGAACCAAAAATCAAAGTAAATCCTCGAAAAAATCTGAAAAGGTAGTCTTATTTATAATATTCAATACTTTTATTGCATCGACTTTCACTCAATATTAAAAAAAAGATATATGGAGTGAAAATCGTTGCTTAAAATATGTTCAATCTTTCAAGAAGAGAATAAAAATATATCAAGAAACTATTTTAGATAATATTTCTCAATTAATACAAAATTTATTTTGATATATTCGTTTGGCTTTAAATATCCACACATATGCCAGTGAAATATTTTAAATTTCATCCTTTACAGTTAAACCAAGTGCCATTTTATATCAAAATGTGACGTATTCTGAGCTGCTCTGTACCCGCCATTACGCATATATTGTTATTAGAGACCAGCACTGGACTCGATATGTATATCAGCACTAGTTGTTTTTAAGTATTTATTAGTGTTTAAGTAAATTGAACAAAGATGGCGGTTGTGTCATGTTTGTAGGTACGGTCTACTTACCATAGATTAAATCAAGATGGCGCTAGCGTCAGGACTAGTTCTGTAATAACAAGAAATCAGCGCCATCTTTCTTTGCAAAATAACAGCAAATTTACAGCAAATTTTTGGACATGAATAGCTGTTCATATATTTATGCAGTATCTAAGAGCCTATAAAATGCATCAAAACTAATTATTGTCAATAAAAAAACAAACAATCCGTCCAAAGACGTAAGAAATTCTTTCCTACATTATCGTGGCGATTCATATTAAAGGGATATGTTTTTGAATCCATTATTATTGACTGTCATTATTGTCTAGCATGTACGGCTGCACTGTCGGAGGTCCTGGGTTCGAGTCCCGGGTCGGGCCAAGTTTAGTTATTGAGTCTTTCTGTATAGTAAGTCTCAGTAACAGCCCGGAGTTGGGAAGTTGGCGGTGTTTCACCCCCGTGCCTCGGAGAGCACGTAAAGCCGTCGGTCCTGCGCCGACACTCTCACCGCGAGTGTCGAGTGGTCGTCCCACCGGAGTATGAGAGTGATAGGAATACAGAGTACACGTTGTGTCTGCGCGTACTCTTGAGCACTATAATATCTCCTGCGCAGTTGGCTAGTCTCAATAAGATTGGCCGCCGTGGCCGGAATCGGCTAGGAGAACATCATCATCATTGACTGTCAATATACCTATGAATAACTGTAATCTACCTTAAGGCGCTCTTTTCCAGAATCGCCGCTCCCTAGGCGTCAGCGCGCGACGACCCGTTTCATTTTATCTGTTTTTTGCCTATTGCCATAAATGTAAGTTAATAAATGAAAATCTGTTTCTCCGAATACCTAAATAATGACAAGCTAAATCTATGAGTATAACTTTCATATCATATAATAATGTATTTTGTGTGTATCAGAGATTTTAAGGTATTTTTAGACCTATCTTTGAATTTTTTTTCTATCGAGTGAACTATTGCCAATCGTGTTTTGGCCTCTCCGGGTACTTAGCTATTATCCTTAACTATAACATGTATAAATTTTAGAACTATATGTATTATATTCGTGGTTTTATAATGGTTCAAAATATCCTAAATTCTGGAAAAGAGCGCCTTAAAATGCGTACATTTTTATTTTATCTAAATATATATTGTTTCATCTTATAAATGTTGAGCAAATCTAAATGATGAGATGGTAAGCACCATCTTGAATCAATTTACGTGTCACCTTACTTTTGGACAAGAATGACCGCAATCTTTGTTTAAGTTAATGGAATATTTCTATACTATTAATCATAGATATCATGTTTTGGGGGTTATATTTGTATGTTTAATTTGATTGTTTTAAAATAGAAAACATCTTAAATACTTCAAATAGTCTTTGTATCTTTTTTGTATATCTGTGTTTACAACAAAAATATTCTGATCCTTTTGCATTATTGTACTTCTGTATAAAACGAAGTTCATAATAAAATGGTATTCAAAACTAAATAATATGAAGTCGCCGGCAATAACTAACCATACGTATAGTTCTGTTACATCTGGTGTTACTTCATTATTGTATATAAGGTTTCTTGTAATATTTCGCCTTCGTGGCATTTCCATATAACATGTATGTAGGTATATTCACGTGTCCGCTTTAAAATAGACTTAGCTCTAGGGTATAGGGTACTTGTGATTTGCAAATTAGAGAGATATTTTTTCATGATAGTGCTCATTTAATAGCATATAGTACCAATTTCACGCCTGTAAGGCATCAGAACACAGGGTGGGAAATGTTTTACCTTTCGGATTTTGAACTTGGGCCCTTTAGAAGAATTATGAAAGATTTTATATTATAATCGTATTACATAGCGTATTTAATAATGTTTTAAACTTTTCTTGTATTGTGTGAATTAATTGTAGTGATGTTTGTTTAAATCGATGTTCATTTTTTGTATGTCTCGTATGAATATGTATATGGTTAGTCCAAATTTACTTCTATTTTCTTAAGTTTTTGATGTTGCCAGAATTCAGGTGCTATCGATTACAAGAGTAAGCTGCATTCAAAATGAGGCTCAATATTGACAGGGATCACAAATTACACAAATGACCATAATTTTGGCGGTCGGATACCCGTAAATTGAAATGCACTTGTAATGCATTTAGGGCTTTGTATTTGTGGCTTTGTATTCAAACCAGGCCAAAAACCCTATTGGGGCATCGAATATGGTAAGTTTTATTTCTTTAATTAAACTCTTTTATAGCGAAGGGCCCAAGCTTTAAATGTTGGCAGTCAAATATAATCTACATAGAAATATTATCTGCTATTGTATTTAGTGTTAAAGAGCGCAAATCATCTATAAAGGTTGTGCTGTTTTGATCCAAATATCTATCCTAATGTTAATAGTTCCCAGATCAGTTTCAAATAAAACTAACTATTAGATATCATACACTTAGCCAAATAGTGAAGCACATGCTCCAACGGTCTTTAGAATTTGGAATTTAAAAAAACATTTCAAAATAATCGATATATTAGCGAGTTTTTTATATTCATTTTCATTACATTCAAATTATAATAATTAATAAATTGAATTTACAAACAATTTTTAAATATTTTCCAATTAGTTTAATTGCCGTCAAATAATTTAGTTTTAATAAACGATAAATAGGTGTGGCGTCTGCTCTTGAAATAGACATTTAGTCAAAATATTTAAAAAAAAATAGGTTTTCTTTTTGTATAATTAATTAATGGGGATATCGGTAAGTTGGTTATGGCGAGAGATGGCGTTAGTTACATACTTTGTTGACACTAAAATTATTCAATTCTTAGTTCATTACTTTTATTCTTATTTTGAAGTGCTGTTTACATAATTTCTTATATATAATCGGAAAAAAAGGTTTTTAGTTAATTTTTTTATGTTCCATATAATACAGTACTTTGATAATTGTAACAACTGTTTTTTTTGTATGTTACCTACTGGCTACTAATAATCAATTTTTTTAAATTTTTCTACTAAAACAAACTATGTATTTCTAGTTTTTGCTCATTTCTATCTATTTTTGCCTTTCCTAAGGTATTTATTACGATTTTTTTTTGATTTCAAAAAAACCATGTAATTACCTAAATTATGATGATATTATTTTACCATAATTTTTATTTTCAAAGTGTACACTATTCATTTATTTTGTGAATTCACGGATATATCGAATACTTTTTAGATAATTACATACCTTCTCCCCATACATTTTTCGGGGTTATAAACTATTGTGTGTATATACTTACACTGTTAATATTGATGGATAACGCTATAAAGTCGGGCTTTTAAGATTTCTATAAAAAGTTGATTATTTAACATATGACCTCTTAATATCAAATCTGTAAGTTTTTGTCTATTGCCGATGGGAAATAGCAAAAATAATCTATTCGTCGTAATAGTTTATTGTCGTCTCATTACATTGATATTATTTAATACTTTTTTATATTTACGCGAATATTTGAAATTTTAATAGAACTATGGCTTTGGGTTTTGTATCGGTTTTATTTTGATTTTTTGCTTCCGATGTTTCGAATGCTTTACAGCATACCTACATACGTATTATATGGTCACGAGAGAGACTAATGACGATTCAACATTTGTTTGAAGTTATACTTCTTTTGGCACGTTTGGAAAAAATACTAGAGTAAAATTTTTACGTTGCGCGCGCTCACCGACAGCCAAAACGCGACATGATGAATACCTTTTATAAACAGAGAGTTGTGACTTACGGGATGAAATCTTTAGCTATTTTTGTTCTGTTACGCCAAAGAAGTATAACTTCTTACGTGCGAACATAAATACACATACACGTTTTATTTTTAATTAATAACTTTTTTTTTAATTTATGCGTCGGTATTAAAAATTAAAATAAAACCGTGACAAAATCCTAAAAAAAAGTTTTATTTAAAATAATGATTTATGGTTACACGTGACGGCGTAGTAAGAAGGGCTATGATGTTAGTAGTTATATAATAAAAACGTGTACAGTTTATAGTACACTCGTGGAAATACATATTTTGGAGTGATTTCCTTCAATGACTCTTTTGTAGGTTTTTTTTATTATTTTAGCGCTAATTGAGTTCCTTAGTGTTATTGGATTTTTTTTACTATTAAATGTTGTACGGTTACCATTTTGGTTGTTTGGATCTTTTTAGGGTATATTAAGGTTTTATATTACTATGTTGTTTAAAAATAAAATATCGATACGGTCTATTTTAAAGCAGCTGTTTAATTAATAACTGATGATCATAAACGCAGGCAGTTAAATCAGAACACGCAAAGGGCAGGGCTTCTGCAGACTTGTTTTTTTTTTAAATTCTCTATACTTTTACGACATCTTTGCAAATGGCGGTTCTTTTGTTTTGTTATTGTCAACAACAGTTACATAGAGTATATTGCTACATAAACAGTTATGTTACATTTAAATAGCTGTCGCTGTGTCTGAATAAACGCAGGTGTTAGTTTTTATTCTTCTAGATAATCTCCGTTCGTATTAATTAACCTTTTGCTTTCCCTACTTCATATAAATTTCATTACCATTCGCGTACTCCAAAATATTTCATTTACGATTGCTGGAGGGTTATGTTTTTAGTAAAGAACATTTTCACAAGTTGTTTATATAAAAATCTAATTTATGTAAAAACCTTGAACGGGTAAGCCGTCGTTACGTTAAATTTAAATTTTGCTATCATTATTTTAATGTTTTGTTTAATTATTTATTCTAATTAACAGCTATATATCAGTTGGTACTGTTTTAAACTGTACTATACAAAAATGTGGTCAAGCAACGAAATATATGTTCAATGTTCATCATTTCTGTCGAATGTCGCATTGAAAGAGAGAACTTTGAAAATATACAATTTTTGACAAAGTTTGTAGGTTAGCCTATCTTCTTATTGGTTTCTTTTTCATTGTGGCACTTGAAAATAATCTGGTATTTATAGATAGATCTTTCTGTAATGGCTGTTTACATATTTACTGTCTGCGACCGCTTACTGACAAATTCTTACAGACATGTGATACATACATACTATTGACTATTCTAAATAAATAAGAAAGTGTTTACTTGGTCTTTTATTTTGAGCCTCTAAATCCTAAAATCCCACATAAATGAACTACTTTAATTAAGCGTGTACCTACCATATTTAATTTTATTAATTGGATTCAAACCTGTGAGAATTGGAATAAAAATTTATAATTTTCTTATCTATATATACATTATAAGTATTACTTGAAATCGACGCTTATTATATATATATATATATATATATATATATATATATATATATATATATATATACTTGTAAAAAATCACTCAAGTTTTAACAATACGACTTTTGATTTTATTGGAGCCTTTACTTCTAACAAAAGTTTTCACCTTATTTGATAGCTAGCGACTTACTCTCGCTTCGCTCGGTTTAATTTTCAATAGCTACCTAATAAAAAAATAAAACCAACTTGCAGACACCAAAAACTAAAAATTACTGAACGGAGGTTTTCATCCATATAAATATAAATGTGAAAATGTGTTTGTTTGTTAGTCTTTCTTTCACGTCAGAACGAAGTGACGGATTGGCGTGATTTTTGGTATGGAGATAGCTGGAGAGTGACATAGGCTTTTTATCGCGCGAGATCATCTCATTCTCACTAGAAAACACGTTATAATACAATCCAAAAAAAATATCATCGTAATTACCTGAAACTTGGTATTAATGCGCTTGAATAAAATTAAATAAATACGTGTTTTAGCATTTTTCGAAATTCATTATATAAGGGAGAAAGAATAAAATAGGGGATGAAAGTTCGTATGAAAGTACCTTTTTAGATATTTTTTTAGTTTTAGCGCGAGCGAAGCCGCGGGTTCTGCTAGTTTACTATGTATAAACACCTAATCAAATATTTTCGAATGCGAAACAATGCTTTGAGATATGAATTAATAACTAATTATAGTTAAAATATTGTACATCAATTTGTGAAGTATTTATACATATCGAAATAGATTTGCTTTGCTTTGCATCGGCTAGGCTAATTAGTATGTTAACAAACTTCAAATTTTGTGTTTTTTCCTGATTTTCTCAAAAATGGTAAACTGTATGTCAAAGAAAATTTTATAGGACCACCTCGGTACCTAACTTAATACAATACATTTTAAAGGAGCATAATCGGTCAATCCGCCTCCTCGTTTTTAGAAGTCGGTTAAAAATACTTATTGTGAGTGTACCTTGAAATACACACATGCTATCGCCGACTTAGCGGTAGGCCTTTTTAAGTCCTACAATTTTCTATTACATTGTTTTGTACCTATCTTTTAGGGCTTAGCCAGTGGTAGCCATGTAAGGTAGTACAAAAACTGTTTTTTTTGACAAAACCCGTTGTAGTAAGTAGTAGTTGTTGTAGTAAAATTATATGTATACAAAAACCTTCCTCTTTCTATTAGTGAAACCCGTATCAAAATCCGTTTAGTAGAAGTAAGCGAAAAAGCAGACAGACGTAGACAATGACTTTGTTTTATTTTTGTTTATTATGCTATGTAGGTATAGATATACCTTCTCGTAAATATGAATAAGCGACTTGCGCTCGCACTAGATTTTCTATTTTCCCCTGAAAATGATAGATTTTACCGCACTAAATTGTTAAATATGGTATTTTTGACCCTGTTACTTATATTTTTTGTGTAATGAATCATTGATTTTTTTTTGTTTGAAGGACAACTCGGCCGAACCATTTATTGTGTTTTCCCCTGGGAATGGAAGATTTTCCAGCAGTAAAAGATATTCTAAATGTTGACTCGATTAATAAGTTATCACTACACATTTAATTATTATATGCTCAGTACTTTTGCGTTAATACCAAACGAATATTTGGATAAACCTAAAGTGAGGAGCGAAACAATTTTTAAATATCTGTGTCAATATGATTTCACATAAAAAATTATTTTCAGTATTAATAGATGTATTAACAAAGGTATAAAATCGATGAAAACCAAACAAAATAGGTCATAAAATCATTACGGTATCTAAAAAACAATCGATTAAATTACCGCCTATGTTGAGGTAATTACCTCGCAATGGGTCAATTCCCACAATTTTCGAACACTTCGTAGTGATGTCAAAACCATCTCTGACCCTAAAACGGCACCCTCACCTGCGAGCCCAGGTGCGCCCGCGCAATTAAAATCATCCTCTAATAACACCTACGTACACTACACAATTTATTTGTTTTATTGTCTCTGTCACACGTAAGGCCATTTGCCACTTTTCGTACAAGATGGATCGTTTCCTATTCCGCATAGTTTTATTTATTTTACAGATACCTACAATTTATTGTCTCTATAGATCTTTTATCTAAATCGAAAATTAAGTAGAAAATGAATGGGGTTTTAGTGTGCGATTAATGCATTTGCAATGTTATCTTTTATTGGCTTAAATAGGTTGAGGGGAAATTGATTTACTATGAGAATTAATTAAAGCAATATCTATTTTTTAAGTTCTATCTATAAATTCTGCTTGACATTTTCGTTATCATTTTGAAAATATATTTTAAGTAAGAAATTCATTATGGAAATTACGTTGTAAGTATCCATAAAAGTTTATTATCTTGCTAATTTATAATTTTATGAGTTCATTATTGACAAAGGTTAATCTTCGGTACATTAAACGTAATCTTGGCTCTCGATCTGTTTGGCGGCACATGCGCATGCAAATCACCGCCGCATGCGGGCGCGCGTCATCGCTACCGCAACCACACCGCTCTCCTTCACCGCCCTCGCACTCGCGATGGGTGAACGTTAACCGAAAGGATAAGTAAATTATGTGTTTAAAATATCTATGTTTCATTTAATAGCTATTATGCGCTTGATCTAGTTATTTATGACAAAATACTAACAGTAGCACATAGATATCCAAATAAAATTATTTTAGTACGAATTACGCACTACTTATTATCTGAGGGGAAAAGACATAGGTGACTATGTCTTTTGAGCCAGCAACTACACAAATTGACCCCTGCTTTGTATAATAAAATCTTTGTATCTACTCGACTGATTGAAGTATATTTCTAAATTTCATTTATTATATATGTACAGAAAAAAAACCTATTATACCTGTCGTGTTATAGGCCAATGTGCAGGTCCTTGCGCGATTACCTGAGTACCCTAAATACCCCGTCTTCTCCATTCTACACGACATTGGCGAAGTAAGTTGTGTCCAAATGGCACGCCTCGAAGCCACAGAACAAAAAAAACATTGAACATTAAGTACCCTAAACATTATATTTAAAAAACACTTCAGCCTTTTTTATTTCTTTATTTGGTGTTTAGGTAGAAAATTATTAATTATATATTGTTTTCAGTTTTATTTTTTTCAGTACAGTACATTTAAGTATTGAAGGAAACAAATATAATTAAAATTTAAAAATAATCTAAAATATTTATAATGCCACCTAAAGTTGTTTATTTCCCACCTCTCCTCCGACGTCAAGCGCAGAGTTCAATGTCAATGGTGGGGTCGGACCACAACATACGGGCTATGCTAATGCGCTACGTTATTACCTGTCTATTTACTAGATTCGTCTCGCGTCATTATTTTAATAGCTTTACAATTTATTGTAAAAGTCTATCGAAATTTTGCACACACTATCGCTGTGAATAATATAATCCGTGGAGGGATGCACAATGAACCCTATCAACCGAAAAATGATTAACGAGCGATTACGCTGACGGATGGGCAGCGCCTACCATGGCTTCCCTCGCCACAGAATACGGAATCTCATAAAGACGGCTGTTTCAAAAATAATATATTATGATATAAAATATATATACTTCCCTATTCATTTATTTAAAAATCAGTCGTGATCTTTGTATGTAATAGTATTTTTTTAATTTAAAGCAGATTTTAAATGAGTTTGTTAAATATATTGCTTCTGTACTTAGTACTACAGGTTAGCAATTCATATATTTAATTATAAATAAAATAAAGTAAATAATAATAATTAATACAATTTTTATATTGAATTATATGTAATTATACCTCGAAACATATTAAAAATTTAAAATTCTAAAAAAAACCTTTAGAAGTACTGTCTAAAAGTACATTTCTTTAAGCTATAGTTTCATCCCCGAGTGAGCAGCACGAGCGATGCGCGGGCGCACGTGCCGCGACATATGGTAGCGCCATACTGTTTGTTTGCCAATCATAACGGACATATTTCATCAGATAACGGCCCACCGCCTCCGACATATTGGATCAATCTAAAACAATTTTTAAACATTGTTAATTAAACGTCATAGGGCACCAATTTGCCATGCTTTTCATCATGACGAGCTTTAATAATAATGAGACTGGAGTTATGATGAGTTATTGTCTACAGTGAAAGCTTTTGTTTTCATATTAACTTATATATAGTTTTTTTTTAACTTTTATTTGATCAAGTAAACTACAATATTTCAAAATGTTACTTATTTACTAATCGTAAATATGAATTCTTTAAAGAAAAATTGAAAATCAAAGACGACTTAAACTTAGTAATAACAAGTATAATAAATTCTCTACATATACATATGAATAAAATGAATATTATGCTTATTTAATTGTAAATTTTGATTTTATTTGTATTTGAAACTGATACGGAATATATAGTTAAAATATTCTGCGATTAGCTTGAATTTTGAATTATTTGATTCACATTTTTATTGATGTTAATTTATATTTAAATTGACTAATTTATTATATTATTTATGGTCCCATTGAAATAAAACAAATACTTAATGTTAAGTAAAGCTTACCACAATACAATAATGAAAACCGCACCCAAATCGATTAAGCCGTTTCTAAGACAAACGCACAGAAAAACAGTCAAAAGTTATTGTTTTGGGTTAGACCTTTTGATAAATTGTAGTAAAAATACCGAACTCAAATATTATTATGATTTTCAAATACATAACATTTTTGCGATTAATTTGCATAATATTATTTGATGTTTGGCGTCTTGATAGATAGCACTTCGCTTTAATTCAATGAAAGCAATCGAAGTAACCTGTAATTTAGAGGGCTTGGCGCATGTGTAGCGCCATATGGCGAGAATCCATGGCAGCCAACTCAAGCGATGACTTCCAAACCTTATTCATGGCAGACTTATAGTAGCAAGAAGCGCTCAACTTAAAATTATAAAAAACATGTTTTTTCTTACCTAGTATAATAATAATATCCAATATAAACTATAATAATTACTCTATATTAGAATCAAATCAACCCTACGAATAGTCAGGGTCGTCTTATTTTTCATACATTTACATATATTTTGTTAGGTAAATTAAAATAAAATTATAAGAGATTTATATCAAAATTTAAAAATATTAAATCAATGATATCATTTAAAATTATTTCAAAAAATATATCTTATGTCACTTTTAGTATAACAATATGTTTTCCAGGTACTCTTCTTATATGTCTGACCGATGTGTGGACTGTAACCCTACGGAATTTTATGCCAACAAAAACGAAATTAATTTTTTTGACTATCATAAGGTATGAACTAAAAAATATCGCGGCTTTATTTTACACATGTCAAGGTGAAAGTTGTATGGCACTAAACACACTGCGATTGCGCTCGTTGATATCTTTTGTATGATGAACTTAGCATACCGTGATTTGTAATCGCCACGTTCATTTAAGTTAAAACAATTTAGATGATATGTTTATATGTTACATTTTATTATTTAATGAATAAATAAATATTATCATTTGATTATTTCGGAATCCATTGCACTCGTAGAATATTTTATTGACTCCACAGTATTCCTCGCATGAATAAAATGAATTAAATTATATTGACGAGACGTTTGATTCAGTTTGTAGTGGTCCTACTTGCTATGCCAGCGGTCGTGGGTTTGAGTCCCGCTGGGGGCATTATTTTGTGTGATGAGCACGAATGTTTGTGTACTCCAGTCAGGGGTCATTCCATATTTAAGAGTATAATTAATGTATGTATTTAAGAAAGTCATATATATGGGTAGTGTATCAACTATCTGGTATCCATAATACAAGCCTCGTAGCTTGCCATGGAACTAGGTGGTGCTGTATGTTAATGTCCCTAAATATTTATTTATATCTACTAGGTCCTCCTTTCGGCTTTACCTGCTGTTCATTTCTATTTTTACTTACTTAACCTAAATACTTCAACTGTCGAGTGATGTGCGAATAAACAGACGAAAAACTCTGGATATGGCTTCCTTCTATTACACATAAAATGTTCGTCAATTACAAATAAAAAAAATGAAATACCTACTTAAACTATTTCAATCCTACAGAGATTTTGTTTTAAAATGTACTATTATATGGTAACATTTTGCTTTTTTACAATACATTTTTTTTACTTTTTCGTAAGTTTTTTTCAAAATGCTTTCAAACAAAATAATAATAAAAAAACGTATTGGAATAATCGTTAAATAATGTATGTGGGAAAGTGCACGTTTGCTATAAAAGGCGTTAGTCGGTTAACCCGGATCCTTTTCTTGATGTCCACTTAATAGAATCTTAAGTGACTTCCCATGTCTATACCACGTGTGTAACTACACAAGCAAGGTAAATTGTGTGTGAACAAAAAGTGATTAGATAGACTCGTAGTCTACAGCATTTGCCCTAGTTAGGACATAATAAAGACATTCGATTGCATAATTAATCTATACGATACAAGTAATTTTATTAAATTTGCTGTTTATTTAAATAATAAATTCATTAAAATATACTTTCTTAGATTTACGTAAATATTGGACATTTTAAATAAATGAAACGTCGGGAACGAAAAATCAAAATTATTCCGCGAAATAATCGGAAAATATAGTTAAACTAGCATTGCCCGCGGCTTCGCCCGCGTTCAGATGACCAAAAACCAAATTCTTAGGTTTTACATATTAGTATACTCTTACATTGCAATTTTTGTATATTTTTCTCAGAAATGAGACATTTTCCCGCGGTAAAAAGTATCCTATATGTTGTCCCGGAAAACCAGCTATGACCATACCAAATTTCATCAAAATCCCTCCAGTGGTTTTTCTGTGATGCGGTAACAGACAGACAAACAAAAATTCTAAAAACTATAGATTCGGCCTCTGTATCGATAATAATGGTTATTTCAAGAAGATTTTCCAAAAAAATATTTAATGTACAGATTCGGCTTAGTTACAGCACGGTAGCATTACATTACCGTGGTTACAGTTTTATTATATGTATAGATTTAAATTCATTAAATTTAAATATTATTAAATTCTAATGTTAGTAATTAAATAGAAAAAAGTACAATGTTTTACTTCAATACCAAGGACTTTTTCACTTTCTGTTGTTTATAATGAGAAATCATTTCGTTATATTGGCGAATAGATGCAAATTATGCTATTTTGTGATTTATGTACCAATACGAACATCAAACATGTATTTATAATTGACTTATTATAAATACATATATTAGAATTATAAAATTAAAGAAATGTTATTTTCTTTTTGTTTCTCTTGAATGCGCTAATCTCTGGAATTATCAGTTCAATTATCAGTAAATAAAATATTTTTTCTCTATTCCTGTCACTCTCATACTCGGGGAGACGATGTCGACAATTCAAGACGACCAGCGAGAGATAAGGCGCAGGGCCGACGGCTTCACGTGTTTTCCGAGACACAGGAAGAAACACGCAAAATTCCCAATTTGGGACTCAAACCCAACCTTCGGATCTGGAGCCATACATGCTAGCATCTAGATCTCCGAGGCAGTCACATAAATGTGCCTACACTAGGCCGCAATGTATTTATTTTCAGAGAAAGACTGAATTCAGGTAATATCCAACGGCAAATAAAATTGTTTAATTTTTTTATAAAACTAAAATATACGCTTCTTGGCGTATTGATTATAATAATTAAATTATTGATGATATTTTTGGTAATTAAGTTATTGCAAAAGTATGTTCGTTAGTTTGTTGTTTACACATCCAGTAATGAAAAAAAAATAATGACGTGTTTTCTTGGAAATAGATGTTTCATTCATTCTCTAGGAATGACATAAAGTAGATTTTTCCCTTAATAAAAGGCGTGTCGATAACATAAAAATAAATAATTTGTCGAGGCATACCTACTATTCTTATTAAAGCTAAGCTGATACTAATTGTAAATATTATATTCATTAATTAAATGGTAGATAACAAAGACTAACAGTAAACGGTATATAAAAATTCTGCGAATATCTACATCAAGTAAGACTTACATTATAATTATCTTGCGATAAATCGTCGATGTACAAATATTTTAAAAAACAGTAAACGGGAATGTAGACAGGACAGCCACTCGCAAGCTGTTCGCCGACCAGTCGACAGGACACTGATAAAGACCGTCACACTTCCACTTATACTTAGCTTCCACAACAAATTAGCTATACTCAATTACGTTATTTATAATCACTAGGTGCATATTTATCTTGCGTAGCTCGTAACTTGAGAAAATAATTTATACGCCTACAGACTTTGATAGAAGATAAGAAAAAGTTATAAAAATTATATTATTATTTAGTAACATAAACTTAATAATAAAAAAATAAAAATAAAAATGCATCGTAAAAATCAATTGTTTTTATAAAGATTGCTTGAATTAATTTGAAATTTGTCGGAGCACCTTGCTAAGCTGTGCCTTTTAAGGATAGCATTTTACAGGAATTATCCGTATGTTAACGGTTGCGAGGCCGTGTGCATCGCATGCCCATCATAGGACGTCCCACCGGCTAGACTCACCACTTACCGGCTAACCTATTTATATGTTGCTTTGAAAACAGGAATAAATGAATTAATGCAAATGTATACTATAAAAATTGTCGCAGGTGCAGAAGGACGAGTTCCAACCATCGTTGGATTCGATTTAACGCGCTTGCCCTGCGAAAGTTTTATTTATAGCCGCACGCCGCGCCGGGTACGCATACGCAGTGCAGCGATTACGATTATACCGCACACGCATTAAATTTTAAAAAATGATTGCACTTTATAATACTGTATAAAATTACTTAATGTTATAATATGCACATCGGATAAAATGTATGTATTCATAGCTACTCAAAATTGTTTAATTTTAGTGTGGATTTTATAATGTCTTTGTTAATGTTAGTACCCTTTCATTTTAGGGCGAATTTCATAAAAGCAAATGGCTTAATTTGTAAATTTTTAAAAGGCTTTATTGTTTAAAAATGATATGTAGAGAGTGGATGGGAAACGGTTTTATCCAGAAACTGAATGGTTTCCGTGGGATATTATTGTGCTGCCGAAAGTCATTTAGGGACACTACCTTTGCTCAGGTGGCACATTAGAAAAAAACAAAATCAAGTTTCAGTTCAATCGTTCAAGCATATTCAAGGATCTATCATTATCGGGTGGGCGCCATGCTTACTACCTATACAAAAGTAAAAAAAAGCAATGTATGTATCAGTGGCGAAAGGTGAAATTATAGCAGAGGTAAGCCGTTCCAAAAATATACAATTTTTATATACGTATTAATGTAGAAAGAAATGAAGCCAAAAAGACATCTATACATTTAAAAAATTAAATGTATGTAATATTATAGCAAAGTAATTTTAAGGTAAGACGTCTAGTATGGACGCTTCGCCACTGGTATGTATGTATGTTTGCCGTAACCATAGTCCAGTAGACAGACAAGTGCCAAAAAATAGTCAACATGATGCACATAAGTGAAAAGGAATTCCTCCATAAAAATCTAATAAGCAATTGTTTTAACTTTTTACATTGAAAGTGTTTCTTTGACCATAAGATATAAAATAAAAAAATCTATGTATATAAAAATGAACCCCTATTTCTCTTGGCCACGCTATAACATGAGAACGGTTTTACCGATTTTATTCTTCTTTTTTAAAATTTTAATACTTTGTAGGTTCTTACATTAAAAAAAATTAAGTGATTTGCGCAGAAACTTAGAATGGGGATGAAAGTTTGTATTGTGAAGCAAGCCAGGGACGGACCCGAGCGAAGCAAGGGTTAGTCGCTAGTAGCTTATATTTTTTATTATTAAGAAAATACGCTATTTAAAAAAATAATAAAAAAACATTTTGAATATTTCATAAAAATGGTTGCTGTTAAATAAAATTATTTATTTTTATAGAGAAGCACGAAAGCTCAACACACAGACATATCTCGTAAAATCTTTTGATCTTTTTAATAGTATATATAATTTTACCGTCAAAGGGGACAAAATAAAGCAAATGTTTTATGAATCAAAACGACTCGACGCCTAGACATCATTAATGGATTTGCAAATAGAGTAAAAAGTTAGAAATTAAATACGAATATTGTATATTTTTAGCATTAGATAAATAAAATTATTTTTTGATAGAATAAAGGATTTTCTTTACATTTATTAATAGGATACTGGCATATGCTATATTAATGTTCAATTTAAAAATGAAATTATATCATAATATTGTATTCAGCCCTTTTTAACGCCCACTGCTTCGAGCCTCCCTTCAATACGAGGGGTATCAGGCCATAGTCCACCACGCTGGCCAAGTGCGGGTTGGCGGACTTGCTAGGTTCTCTCAGACATGCAGGTTTCCTCACGATGTTTTCCTTCACCGTAAGGCAAGTGGTAATCAAGTTAAAAATGATTCGTACATGAAAATATCAGAGGTGCGAGACCTGGGATTTGAACCCACTTCACTCGATTTCCCAAGCGAGCGCGTTACCACTGGGCTACCACTGCCTTGACTGACTATATCATAATATACATAGGGCAGAACCGTTAAAAATGACAAATAGATTATAAAAATATTTTTACGAACCAAGTAGGTACTTTTATACTTTGAAAATAAATATTAATTATTGATTATAGAACGCTTTTAGCATCATAGACTAGACTATGTAATACTGACAGGTGTAGATTTACATTTTAAATAAGCCTGAAATGTTTTAAATTGACTGCAATTGTGCAGCAGTGCACTAGAATAGTGTTTCTATTAGAATTTAACAGGTTCATCTTCTAGAATGCGTGTATAAAGCGGGATTGTTTTGGTTACCTGATATCATCACGTTATTAAGGATCTGTCTTTTAATCCAGTGTTTATCTTGACAGGATTCACCAGGCGTGCATAAGTGGAAGAAGATTATAAACCTGATATGCAGTAGACGAGTTGGCAGATGTCTCAACCAGTTCTTTAGTGTGTTACAGAAACAAAATCATAGCACATTAAATCTACATCTTTACTAATGTTATAAAAGCGAAAGTGTGTTTGTTAGTTTGCCCTTATTTCATACATTAACGGATCGAAATGATCGAGAAAAGGTGTTTACACAAATAGAGATCATACAGTAAAATAAATAAATATGTTGGGACATTACCACACAGTACCATGTAGTTCCATGGTAAGCTACGAGGCTTGTGTTACTAGATAGTTAGGGTACCAGATAGTTGATACACTACACATATATAACTTTAAATACATACATATTATAAATATAAACACCCATTTTTTTATGTCGGGAAATGTATTTACGCATACCACCTGATCCCCCAGGTGGTGATGTGGGGCTCACCGGCTAGAAGAGCCGGTACTACCCACTAAAACCCGACACTCCCCTTCCCTCCGCCTTAATGGGACGCCGCAGGATCGCTTGCGCTAATATAAACACCCATGACTGGGTACAAACATTCGTGCTCATCACACAAATGAATGCCCCCAGCGGGATTCGAACCCGCGACCGCTGGCAGAGCAAATAGGGTCACTACAAACTGAACTAAACATGTCGTCAATATATAGTGTTATAGAGTATAGAGCGATTATTGATATTACTTATCCTAATTAGTGTTTGGTTAAAAGTTAGGTAGAGACGCGAGGTATAAGGCGGGCGGAACTAGTACGTGTATGTATACACATACAGTTAAATATATAAAACGATCTTCTTGAACTTACTGTTACTTAGACTACAATTTACATTGCGATGTAATCATTTTTACAACAAACTCATTTTAATTATAAAGTGTACACTTTATACAAAATGCAGTCATTGCAACAATTTATCGCAAAGTATCTTTATTGCTTTGACAGCTTTTGAACTGAAATGATTAAAGGAATCATTAACATAATTGATAATCAATATAATTTAATTTAAGAACGTAACATAGATAGTAATATGATTACATTTTGTAACTTTAAAAGTAAAATTCGTTATATAGTTATACTAGCGATTCACCCTCGTTCCGTTCAGGTTCGACTCTACTTACGTTTTAACGTTTAATATAAATTTCTCAGAGATAAGATATTTTCCCGCAGTAAAAAGTATCCTATATATTGACCCGGATAACCAGCTATTACCACACCAAATTTCATCAAAATCCCTTCAGTCGTTTTTCTGTGATGCGGTAACAGACAGACAGACAGACAAAAATTCTAAAAACTATAGATTCGGCCTCTGTATCAATAATAATGTTTATTTCAATAAGATTTTCCAAAAAATATTTAATGTACAGATTCGACTTAATTAGAATTTTATTATATGTATAGATTATGTACCTATAACCTATAGATAGTAGTAAATTATTCAATTTAATTTATTAAAAAAAATTATAAGTACAAAAGGTACAAAAGATTTGTACAGAATTTTAGCAGAAGAATCTACAGATATGTAATCAATTAATTGAATATTTATTTCTAATTAATACGCTGTTTGGCATGTTCACTTTACTTCGCTACGTAGATGAGAAAAAGACTCCTAATAAATTTCGATAACTGCACCTAACAATTTACAATCAAGCTCACTACATACGTTTGTATTTATTATAATGAAGCCTAGGGCAGTGCTGAAGACAGCAGGCTGCCCGGCGCAATGTGCGCGTGCGACCTTTCACGTAATTATTAGGCGCGTGCGTAGCAAGCACCGCTAGCAATGTCCGCTTTACTGATATGGAAAGTGCTACTTCACAGCAAACTCGGTCCCCTCCGTCACTATTTTTTGTATCTGATTTTAATCAAAAGTTTTACATGGCCTTTAAGTTTTAATGTTTCTACATTTTTAAGGTTCTTAAAAGGTTCGAAGTTAAGTGAACAAGTATCATTTATATCTTACCTATTTCCTGCGGTTTGTATTCCTTGAGTTCAAAAAGTTAAATTATTTATTATAATAAATCATATTTTTTCATATTATCTATTTCAGCATATTTTATGCTATCCTTAATCGCATTCTATTACCTACGTATTAAAATATTAATCTTAGATGCTTTAAAAGTTAGAATGTGTATGGCAGATGGTATTTTAATAGCAAAGATAATATATTTTACTACCACATAAATATAGGTGAATCTTACTGGTGAGTCGCTATTTGTGTATGAAAGCAGAGACACTAATAGATTTACTTAGATTCAATTAAAGATAACCTCTAAGCATAATGATTATTATCAATTGTCGTAAGCGGCTTTCCTATGGAAATAATTCTTAAAATAAAAACTTTAAAGTTACCGCGTATAGGAGACGATGTAGGGATTAATGGTTGCAATTTAACCGGTGTATCCTTAGAATAAAAATTGACCCAGAAGAGCTATGATCGGGCATATTAAATAAACACTTTAAAGAAATTATGACTTTAGATATTATGAAATCCAAACTTGTGTTAGAAATATCTTATGAACGTTGTATTGTAAATAGAACATATAATAAATATCTAAATAATATATATGTACAGTTTTTACTATTTCATTGCACTATCTCGCCGCAGTAGTAGCCCAGTGGTAACGCGCTTGCTTGGGAAACCGAGTGAAGCGGGTTCAAGTCCCGAGTGTCGCACCTCTGATATTTTCATGTGCGAATCATTCTCTAACATGATTACCATTTGCCTTACGGTGAAGGAATAACATCGTGAGGAAACCTGCATGTCTGAGAGAACCTAGCAAGTTTTCGAAAGACATGTGAAGTCCGCCAACACGCACTTGGCCAGCGTGGTGTACTATGGCCTGATCCCCCT